CGGACGACCGTTTTTATCGTTTTTATGATAGGGTTTTGAACTTGATGACTAAAAAAAAAAAAAAAGTTGGAACTTGCACACTTTTTCCACATTTTTTTTAGTCAACAAATTTTGGAAAGGTGCACCCCCACCACTACCACCACCACCACCTCCCATAGTACCACCACCACCACGATCTCCCAGCGGACGACCGTTTTTATCGTTTTCATGATAGGATTTTGAACTTGATGACTAAAAAAAAAAAGGTCATCAACTTTGAAAAAGTTGGAACATTTTGAAAATTTTGTCCGAGAAATTATCCGATTTCAAATTTTCCCGGGGCGTACGATAATTTTCTGCCGCATACGATAATTTTACGCCCCTGTGTCGATCAGACGAACTAAAGTCTCTGGGATCACTGATAGCATAAGTTGTTTAGCATTGAAACTATTAAGATGCAGATTCCACCGATTTTTATGGAACTACCTTTAGATGATCAGGTAAATATGTAATATAAATGAAAATAGATCATTTATTTATATGATACATGTTAAGTTTGTTACAATTGGACATACGAAAGATCTTTAATATTGTTTGTAAAATTAGAGGTTATAAAGCTTTAAGTTAATATATTTTGGTATAAAATAATAAGATATTGTAATAACAATATAAATTCATATGTTATATTTCATTGTTATTTGCATTATTAGGCACAAGAGTTGCGAGCATATTTTAAAAGTCTTGGAGCTGAAATCAGCGAAGAGAAATCTCCCAAAGGGATTGAAGATGATTTACATAAAATCATTGGCGTTTGTGAAGCTTGTTTCAAAGAAGGAAATGAAAATGAAATTGAAACTGTTTTAAATGATATTGTTTCCATCATGATTTTAGTAAGTATTATTACAATTTTTGAAAATATGATATTTATAACAATTAATAACTTGTATTAGTTACATTACATATTTGTAGATACCTACTGAAAGAGCTGAAAATTTAATATTAGCATTTTGTGAAAAGCTTACTAAAGCACCCGGTTACAAATTAGGCTTGGTGTGTTTAAAAGCGTAAGATATTATAGTATATTTGTTTAATTGTCTAACAAAGTAAATGTTCAAACTAAACTAATTTTATATATTTTATAGCTTATGGCTATTGTTTCAATCTCTTTCTGATGATTCGCCAATGAGATATCATGTCTATTATCATCTAGTCCAAATAGCTCGTAATGTAGATCAAGTAAAAGCTGTTTACGGAGGAATAGATCAATTGAAACAACAATTTGCATCATTTCCTCCGTCCAATGAACAAATGCAAAAATTATTACGTTTGCTACATGAAGTACTTCTAAGTTGCAAACAAGGGTAAAACAAGTAAATATAAAAATATTATATATTTATTTATCATATTTACTTTATCTTTTATTTGAAAATTACACAGAGAGCAAGCAGCCGCTGTAATGGTAGAACTTCTTGGAACATACACAGCGGAAAATGCTTCCGCAGCAAGAGAAGATGCCCAACGTTGTATTTTAGCTGCTCTTGCGGATCCAAATACATTTTTACTTGATCCATTATTAGCTTTAAAGCCTGTGCGGTTTTTAGAAGGAGAACTTATTCATGACTTATTGCTTGTATTTGTACAAGAAAAATTACCAGCATATCTACACTTTTATCAAAATCATAAGGAATTTGTTGAGCATCAACTTGGTATGTTTATATATATATATATATATATATATATATATTTTTTTTTTTTTTTTATTAATATGTGTTTATATTAACAAACTATATTTAAAAATGAAATGTTAATATTATGTAGGATTAAATCATGAACAAAATATGAAAAAAATGAGGTTATTAACATTCATGCAATTGGCTGAGACAAATCCAGAAATGTCATTTGATACTATTCAAGAAGAATTACAAATCAATACAGATGAAGTAGAAAATTTTATTATTGACGGTAATCACTATTTTTAATAAATCATTATTATTTATTTTTTGGTAATTAATTTCCCTGTACGAATATAAAAATTTTCATTTGTATTTAATGAAATGGATTTTAAACACGCAGGGAATATTAAAAGGATTAGTACTGGCTTAATAATAATTTATTTTTATTAAGTTATCGAAATATTCGACATTTTTATATTTAAAATATTTCTTCTAATGTATTTTATAAAAAGTCTTATATATTCAAAAAAAAGTATATTAATTTATATAATGAAATTGTACTTCATATTTTAGTGTTGAAAACAAAACTTGTAAGAGCACGTATGGATCAAGCTGGTCGTAAAGTACTTATTTCAAGTACAATGCATAGAACCTTTGGAAGGCCACAATGGATGCAATTACGAGACTTGCTTGTTGCATGGAAATCGAATTTGTCTTCTGTTCAAGATTCCATGAAATCTGTAGCTGATGCGCAAATGGAACTTGCAACGAAAAAGTAAAGTTTCTATTAATTTTTTAATAATAATATTAATACTAGAAGTATTATTTTTAATAGTACAACTGCCATTGTCTGTAGTTAATTATATTTAAATTTAGGAAATTATATGATAAATACTATATGAGTTACTATGAAGTATTACTAAAGAAATTATTATGGTTTTTAGTAAATGTGCACTACACTTTTAATCATCATTTTACATTATTCATAATTCATATGGATTTAACATTATATATTTACATTCATAAATTTCATGTACAATCATAACTATGGAATAGTACAACAATTAATAAGTTTTCATTAAATTAACCGGGTATGGAGTATATTTTCTTTTTTTAATTGAATCATAAAACGTATTTTTGTTTATTTTATGGCAATTTTATATTTTATTTTTATTTGTTTTTACCATGTTTTGTTATAATTCTAATTAAAAACAGTATTATTAATTTTTTAGGAAAGACAGCGATGTATAAGTATACATGGTCTTCACAATGGTAGTACCTACTATCCTATACACACATTTTTTACAATAATTATAAATTGCTACTTACCTTCTACAAAATAAATGACAATAATATTTGATTCAGATATGTATTATTATTTTCAATTATAATTTATCATTAATTTCGGATTATATATTAAAATTGATTTTGTTTTTATATAAGTAGAAAATTACAAAGTATATACACTATATTCATGTAGCAATTGAATAAAATAATTTTTAAAAAATATTTTTTTGTAATACATAAATATTATACATGTAATTCAGAATAAATAATATGATTTTTTTGGTGAATATTCGTACTTTTTATTATCACATGGTAATGATACAAAATATCATTTGTACAATTGTATATGCAGAAGATATAATACTTTATTAAAAATTTATAACAGAAAACCTCAACATATGTAAACTAAATTAATAAAACAAAAGATAGCACACTTCTTTTAACGAAAAACAAATAATTATTTAACTTATCTAATGTGTGTCATTGCGTATTTCAATATGTTAATAATAAATGTTTATTTTATGTCTCTCTGTAACTGTTTAACTGTTATCAATATAAAAGTATTATCTTAACAAAGATGAAATATTGTTTTTTGAAGGCACTACAGGAGTTATTTCGTGTGTAATTATTTACCGTTATTAATGCCTTGATATAAATTAAGATCAATATAAATGAATACAATTACAATTCGTCATTGGAGCGACTTACATATGCTTATTCATAATATAGTTAACTATAAAACATTGCATATAATTCTTATTAAATGTTATGTAACACGTTCGAAAAATGATTAAAGTAGTCCGAAAAAATAGTTTAAATATTTTAGAGAATTTAATCTACATAAACTATATCAATAGTACTAATATTACTATGAGAATGACACATTGCATCAACTTAAATATAAACATTTGATAATAATAATAATAATAATAATAATAATAATAATAATAATAATAATAATAATAATGAATATAAAGTAAGTGTACACAGACCAAAATTTTTATACTTTGTATGTACTGCTTGGAAACTATTTTTCGGATTAAAGTTTTATTCCTATCTTAAATTTTTTTTTCATTTAATAATAATATTAATACAAAATATCCTTGCATTTGGTATAAATCATACGTTAAATATAAATAAACTATTTATTTAAAGAGGGCACTATGAGTGCACATTCCATTTAATATTTTCATTGATTCATAAAGTACGTTTATAAAATTTAATGAAAGACATTACGTTGTGAAATACTTCATAAGTTATAAGCTTAGAAGACTTCATGAGAAATAAAGCTTTCTTATTCAGGTGAATGTTTCATATACTATATTATAATAATAACAGATTAAAATTATTAATCAAAAAAGTATAATTTTGTAAATAATAATAATAGGCTATAATTTTTAATAATCATACATATATTGATTATCAGTTACAGTTTCAGCAAAATGAAATCCTATTAGAATTCTTTTTTATATTAAAAAAAACATCTTTAATAATTTTTTAACCAATTACTAAACTTCAAATTATAATAAAATTAGTACAAAAATATTGTTTATAAGAACAGTCTGTATGTATATATGAAATATAAGCCTATAAGCAGTATTAATTTTTTTTTAAGAAAAATTTTATATAGTTCATTATATATGTAAAAAAATCTGCACTATGTTTTTACAAAATTTCAGTCAAAATTTATATATTAATTTACTCACATGTAGTATTTAGAATTACTTATTACAATATAGCAATTTCAGTAAAATAATTTGTAATCATTTTTTTATCTTACACAAGCAATTATTAATATTAACATTTATCTATCATTTTATTGAAACTTTCTATTCAAATAATTTATATTAGATTATTTAATGTATACCGATATCAGCTTTTGTTATTTTCTTATTTGTTTTTATAATATAATATAATGCAAGAAATGCTTTATTTAATTTCTTATTCTAATATCTTTGTTTAATTAGTAAAATAAATTTTTATAATATCGTTATACGAAACATACAGAATGTTTTTGTTAAAAAAAATCTCCTTCCTGGATCAAATATTGCAAATAGAAATTATTTAACATTTCATCAATTGGAGATAGACAACTTTGACCATATACTCTTTCTTTTTTTTAAACTACTGTAAAAAAAATATGTTGTATTAAAAAAAAATGTCTACTTTCACCAACATAATCATAACACTCAATAATGTAATTATAATTCGAAGATCTTTAACTTTTCCATATATTATTCTATTAATATTTGTAATATTTACTTTAATGTAGTATTATTAAATTTCGATCCACTTTAATCCACATTTTTAATTTCAATTATTCAGCAATAATAATATATGTTTCAAATGATCTAACATATTCTGAAATCCATGTTATCGATTTTTTTGTCTTTCTTTTTTTATAATACATATTCAAAGTATGTTATCTTGAATATTTAATATACACATTTTATGTATAAGGTTCACTAAAAAAAAGCAAAGATTAAGTGGATATCGTATAATGTAATTATAAATCATATATGAGTTTTTTTTGTTTTATTTTATGTGACAACTTAATACCACTTTTTTTTTTGTTTTTTTTTTCTTTACTTTTTCTTCAGTTTTCTTTTCTTTTTTTAATTTCTTTTTTCTTTTCTCTCTTTTTTCCTTTTTTTCTTTTTTTTTCTTTTTTCTTAATTCTATTTAAATCAGATTTGAGTAGAAAATCGTGGACGTGGTAAATCTCCAAATACTGTATCACCATGGACACTCTTAGCTAGTGCTTTAATAGAAGCTCGAATATTATGTGGATCAAGAGGATCTCTTGACATCTGCAAATGCATTTATTATATAATATATATAATGTAAGACAATTAATTATTTAATATCCAAATTTAAATATAAGATGTATATTTCATACCTGACCATCATCATCATCCGGAATTGTTTTTCGAATAAACGCAGAAAAAGTTGGTACACTAACAGGCAAAGATTTAGCTAATGTAGGATGCCCACCTCTTTGACCTCTATGCATATGAATACCTTCGTCTTGGCCAGAATCTGTTAATCGTTTTACTTATATAATAATATAAATAAAAGTTATTAAATAAAATATTTATAATCATTTTTTAATATACATAAGGAAAACAAAAAGAAGTAGATTATTTAAAATAGTTACCATCGGTGTCTGATTCTTCATCCGAAGATCGAAGGTGGTCAAGAGTTGATGTATCTTCCACTCCTTCAAGTGGGAACAAAGCTTCCGTGTCAAAACTGCTTTGCTTTTTTGCATAGATAGTTCTTTTTTCTATATTATTATTCTACAAAGAATCATGCAAACTATTTAGTAATTTTATATAAATATGTGGATTACAGTATGCGTCAAAAATACATAAATAATTTCTTACAATAGGTATAGTAGAAGACTTAACAGTTGGTTCACGTTTAATATTAGTTTGAATAACATGTGCTACATCTTCCGTTGTTCTATGTGATTTTATATTTTGTTCACTATTTATTGAAGTTGTTATATTCCCTTTAGTATTATCAGAAGTCTTTTGTGGAATTTCTGTATTATTAGTTAGCCTTTTTAATACTTCACCTTGTAGTAATAAACTTAAAATATTGAAATAATGGTAAAATGTAATATTAACAACTCTATGTTTATATAATTGAAAGATTTAATGTTAATATTTTACCTTGTCAGTAGTCGATATTCATTATGTGCCTTTTCACGGAACTGTTCTAACAATTGGTACTGTTCTGCAGTAAAATTACGTATTTTTTCTTCAATATCTACAGCTTGTCTTTGTATTGCCTCCTCGAGTTGTTGATGAAGACAACCCAATGCTACTTGAGTAGAACTTAATAATTGTGACACTGAATAAACGAAATAAAAATAATTATTAGTTTCAAAAATATATATCATTATATACGCATTGAAATGCACATTTCCAAACTTACCAGAAAATTTATTAGGTGGTTGTAAATAATCAAGATCATCTAAATTACTTCGATCAATTATTATTCTAAAAACATCACTATAATCAATATGAGATCTCAATCGTTCTATTTCTTCCGGTGAAGTCTGTAAAAATATAATAAATCACATGTATAATAATATTTTAAAGAAATAAAAATTACGTAAAATAAATAAAACTAATAGATTTATAAAATATAGATTCTTATGTAAATTTTAATTAAATTATTTTTTTGGTTATATTTAATTAGATAAATTCTATTTTTTAAAATATATAAATGATTATATAATATTATAGATAACTTAGGCTAGAGATAATCTCTCTTGATATAATTGTCCCATTTACTTATCAGATATTGCACCTTTAACAATATTAAAGCATCATAAAATAATATGATAAAAGACAAAAAAAAACCATCTATCTATACATCTTGATAATTTATAGTTTCAGTGAACTTAAGGTCAAAAGAAGTAAATCGTGTTAACAACCTGTCCTATTGTAATCAAGAAAAACAAAGTGACTTACGATTAGAAATATAAAAACATTTTATGAATAATAAATTTACTTACAATCATATTAGTATTAATGAGAACTAAGGCAGCACCATATTCCTTGTGTAGAGCATGAGTGTATATTGAACAGTTAAGACATCGATGGATGATCCAAGTTCCAACATTTGTTATTTCAACTAAACCTTGATGTTCTTTAGTGATAACCTCCAAATCATTAATAGTAGCAAGTTCCTAAAATAAAGAAGTATTTTTTTATAAATGTATATGATTAAATATACAATGCAAAAATCAATAATTTTCCAACGATATTAAAAGATTGTACACAATATATATATATATATATATATATATATATATATATATATATAAATAAAATTTTGTGGTCTACGTGCTTATATAAAAATAATATTAAAATTTCTTTATTTATTATTTATTTATAATTTTTTTTCATAATAAATTTAACGTCAAGTTAATAATTAATATTGGCAAAGAAGGGAAAAGAAATAAGAATAAATATATAATTAATAGTATAATATAAACAAAATTAAAAAGTATAAAGTAAATATTAAAATAAGAAGAATAATGTATAGTGTATAATAAAAAAGTTACACTTAATTAAAATTTTACAATAAACAGTATATAATTGAATGACATAAATCAATAATATAATTAATTTTAACAATAACATAATATTAGAGAAAATAAGAAAAATTAATCTCACCTCTTTAAAGAAAGCGTCGGCCACTTTGTGATCAGCCAGCTCCAAAACATCGATTGGAAGTTTTTTTAATTCATTGCCTTTAGATTTAATCGAAACATTCAAGCACTTACAAGTGGCGTGCATTTTATAAAGAAATAAGTATCCGTTTTAAACGGTTGACTTTTCCTTAGTGAATTAATTCGTAAATTCGAATTAATTCCGTTTAGATGTGTCCTCCCGTTGAGTCTCAGTACGATGATCAGGGCTAACAAAGAAAATTCTTTACCAAATAAAATATCTACTTTTGGAATATAGCTCGTTACGATTTATCTTTGCTTTTCTAAAACAATCTAGGCACAAAATCATTCAACGAACGAATCCTCTTATTTCTATTGATATTCCGATATATGATTATTGAAAAATTGCCAGTAGTTTACATAGCAGAGAAAGATATATGCGTATTCGAACAGCGAAACAGTAGGTCAACGCACAGTGTGCAAGTTGCCGGAGCAATGCAAAGCTTTTCCCACACGTGCGAGAATACACGACATTTACTTCCCCTCTTTACCCCGTACCACCCCGGTATTCCTAACTTATATTCACGTATACCAAACCGATGTAAACACGCGTATATAATGAGTATCTTCTTTCATGCGTGTGTTTTCTTAACATTTTTCTATACGAGTATACAGTAAACGAGCAACCAGGAGAGGGAGAGAAGGAGAGGAAAAGAAAAAAAAGAACGAATATAAATGCAATCGAGATAGAAAATAAAAATGAAAGATAAGCTAATTCTATTTCAACAAAATATTACAAGATTAATATAATTTCAATTTCGTTTTTTTGCAGGCATAACTCTTTTTTTTTATTATTTGCTTTATTTACCTGTCATATATTTTTATGGTATTTATCTAAGGATTTATTTTAAGCGATATATGCCGACAAGTGTATCATAAAGATTGGGTTTTATCAAAAGTAAAGTGTTTATCTATCTTTGTTTTTAAAGTAACTCTAGTTTGCTTTCATATAAATATCTAATAGATCTGTTGTCTTAAGTGTAAATAGATCTAATAAATATCTAAGATATTATTAGAATAAAGGATTGGAGAATAATAAGAATCATAATATAAAATATCATATATATTTATGGATCTTTGAAAGAAACACCAAAATATTTACTAAAAATATATACTGATTTATGAATGTGTGCATACATACATACAACATATGTACGTATTTGCATGCATGCAAATCGTTTGATTAACCAAACATACTTGCTAGTCAAATGACCAATTGTAATAGATAACCAAATTTATACATAACCAATGTGTTATTGAGATTTTATTATTTCTCTTTAAATATATTATGTAATATATTGAAATAATGTATTATACGTATGGAAATTTATATATATATATA